AATTCATCATGAGAATATAACAATTGTAAATACATATGCACCCAACATCAAAGCACCTAAATATATTAATCAAATAGTAATAGATCTGAAAGGAGAAACAGACAACAATACAATAACAGTAGGAGACTTCAGTGCCCCACTTTCAGCAATGGATAGATCATCCAGACAGAAAATCAATAAGAAAACATCGGACTTGAGCTATACTGTAGGCCACGTGGACCTAACAGATATTTAACAGAACATTCCACCCAACAGTAGCAGGATACACATTTTTCTCAAGCCTGCATGCAACAATTTCCAGGATAGGTCATATATTATTAGGTCAAAAAACGAGTCTTAGCAAATTTAAAAGACTGAAATCATACCAAGTAACTATTCTGACTACAATGGTATGAAACTAGAAATCAGTAACAGGAGGAAAACTGGAAAATTCACAATACATAGAAATTAATACACTCCTGAACAACCACTGGGTCAAAGAAGAAATCAAAAGGGAATAAAGAAAATATCTTGAAACAAACAAAAATGGAAACACAGCATACCAAAACTTATGTGACACAGCAAAAGCAGTTCTGAGAGGAAAGTTTATAGCAATAAATGCCTACAATAAAAAAGAAAGATCTCAAATAAACAACCTAACTTTATATCTCAAGGAGCTAGGAAAAGATGAACAAACTAAGCCCAAAGTTAGCAGAAGGAAGAAAGTAACAAAGATCAAAGTAGCAATAAGTGAAATAGAAAATAGAAAAACAGTGAAAAATATAAACAAAACTAAGATTTGGTTTTTTTGAAAAAATAAAATTGACAAACATTTAGCTAGACTTACCAAGAAAAAGAGAAGACTCATAATAAATGAAAGAGGAGACATTACAACTGATATTACAGAAATATAAAGGATCATAAGAGACTACTATGAATACGTATACACCAACAAGTTGACCAGCCTAGAAGAAATGGATAAATTACTAGAATCATACAACCTACCAAGACTGAATCATGAAGAAATAGATAATCTGAACAGACCAATAATGAGTAAGGAGATTGAATCAGTAATCAAAAGTCTCCAAACAAAGAAAAGCCCAAGACTACATGATGCCATGGGTAAATTCTACCAAACATTTACTGAAGAATTAATGTCAACCCTCCTCAAACTCTTCCAAAAATTTAAAGAGGAGGGAACACTCCTAAACTCACTTTTATGAGAACAGCATTATCCTAATACCAAAGCCAGATAAGGACACTATAAGAAAAGAAAACTACAGGCGAATATCCCCGATGAATATAGATGAAAAAATTCTTGACAAAATATTAGCAAACCGAATTCAACAGTACATTTAAAAGATTATACACCATGATTAAGTGGGATTCATCCCTGGGATGCAAGTTTGGTTCAACATATGCAAATCAATAGATGTGATATACCACCTTAATAGAATGAAAAATAAAATTTATATGAACGTTTCAATAGGTGCAGAAAAAGCACTTGATGAAATTCAACATCTTTCATGATAAAAACTCTAAACAAATTAAGTATAGAAGGAACATACCTCAACATAATAAAGACCATATGTGACAGCCCATAGCTAATATCATACTCAGTGGTGAATAGTTGAAAGCTTTCTCTCTAAGATCATGAATAAGACAAGGGTGCCCATTCTCACCTCTCCTATTCAAAATAGTACTGGAACTTGCTTTCTTGCCAGAGCAAGGAAAAGAAATAAAAGACATCCAAATAGGAAAAGAAGTAGTAAACTTATCCCTGTTTCCTTATGACATGATCTTTTATGTAGAAAATTCTAAAGACTCCACCAAAAAAACTGTTAGAACTAATTAACAAATTCAGTAAAGTTTTAGGATACAGAATCAACATATAAAAGTCAGTTGCATTTCTATACACTAATAGTGAAGTATCTGGAAAAGAAATAAAGGAAACATTTCCATTTACAATAGCATCTAATATAGTAAAATACTTAGGGATAAATTTACCCAAAGAAGTGAAAGATCTGTGCACCGAACACTATAGGATACTGATTAAAGATATTGAAGAAGACACAAATAAATGGAAAGATATACTGTGTTCATGGATCAGAAGAGTTAATATTGTTAAAATATCCATAGTGCCCCAAACCATTTATATATTCAATGCAGTCCCCATCAAAATTACAAATTCCAATAGAAAAAAAAAATCCTAAAATTTTTATGGAACGACAAAAGACCTCAAATAGCCAAAGCAATCTTGAGACAGAACAAAGTTGGAGGCATCACACTTCCTGATTTCAAACTATATTACAAACCTATAGTAATCAAAACAGTATGGTCCTGACATAAAAACAGACACATAGACCAAGGGAACAGAATCAAGACCCCAGAAATAATCCTATGCATATACAGTCAACTTATATTTGACAAGGGAGCCAAGAATAATTAATGTGAAAAGATGGTCTTTTCAATAAATGGTGCTGGGAAAACTGAATATTCACATGCAAAAGAATGAAATTGGACCCCTGTCCTACATCACTCACAAAAATTAAATGGATTAATCTGGTAATGGATTAAAGACTTAAACCTAAGACCTGAGACCATAAAACTCTTAGAAGAATACATAGGGGAAAAGCTCCTTGGCATTAGTCTTGCCAATGATTTTTTGGCTATTACACCAAAGCATAAGCAATAAAAGCAAAAATCAACAAGTAGGACTACATCACACTATAAAACTTCTGCATAGCAAAGGAACTATCAACAAGATGAAAAGGCAACCTAGAGAATGAGAGAAAATATTTGCAAACCTCTTATTGGATAAGGGATTAATATCCAAAATATAGAAGGAACTCATACAACTCAAAAGCCATATATATATCAATTTAAAGTGGGCAAAAGACCCAAACAAACATTTTTCCAAAGAAGACATACAAATGGGCAATAAGTATGTAAAAAGGTGCTCAATATTACTAATCATCAGAGAAACACAAGTTAAAACCACAATGAGATATCATGCCACATCTGTTAGAATAGTTATCAAAAAGACAAGAGATAACAAGTGTTGGTGAGGATGTGGAGAAAGGAAACCCTTGTGCACTGTTGATGGGAATGAAAATTGGTTTAGTCACTATGGAAACCAATATGGAAGTTCCTCAAAAAATTAAAAATAGAACTACCATGTGACTAACAATCCCACTTCTGGCAATGTGCCCAAAGAAAATGAAAACAGGATACTGAAGAGATATCTGTACTCCCATGTTTATTACAGCATTATTCACAATGGACATGGAAACAATCCAAATGTCTATCTGTGGATGACAAATTGATAAAGAAATGTGGTACATACGTACAATGGAATATTATTCAGCCTTTATAAAGAAGGAGATCCTGCCATTTGCAACAAAATGGCTGAAACTGGAGGATATTATACTAAGTGAAATAAACTAGACACAGAAAGACAAATACTGCAAGATCTCACTTAGTGTAGAATCTAGAATGGTCAAACTCATAGAAGTAGAGTGTCAGATGGTGATTGCCAGGGGCTGGAGGGAGGAGGAAATGGGAGGTGATTGTCAGACAGCACAGAATTTCAGTTATGCAAGATAAGTAAGTTCTGGAGATCTTTTATATAGCACAGTGCCTATAACAATATTCTATCAAAAAATATCATATACTTAAATTTTGCTAAGATGGTTGATATTACATGTAGTGTTCTTACCACAAAAAAATGATAACAATAAAAAGGGTGGGAGGATACTGTGACAGGTGATGGATATGTTTATGGCCTTCATGGTGGTGATGGTTTCATGAATGTATACCATTCCCAAACTCACTGAGTTGTATATATTAACTATGTACATCTTTTTACATGTCAGTCATGCCTCAAAAAAGTGGTTTTAAAAAACCCCTAAACCCCGAGTGGGTCATAAGTGTGTGATCTAAAGGAAATACATCTGCAGGTTGACACAGTGGGGACTCCTAGTGTAAGACTATTGGTTTATGGATAATGGACCAAAAAATCAAAAGTGTGGGAGCTGGATGGGGCAGTGATGGCAGGATGGCCTCAAGGGGAGGGCAGGGCCATGTACCTGCAGTAGGGGCATGGCATTTGGGGGTCTGAGCCAAGCACTGAAGGGAGAATTAGAGTTTACCGGATGGCCAAGGCTGGGGGCAGGAGCAGGGCCTCCCAAGCTGAGGGCTTTGTGGGTTCAGGAGACTGAAGGCCAGGCAGTGTGCACTGTATTGGACGGACAGGACTGTTTCAACGACTGGTGTGAGGTGTGAGCTGGGGGCAAAGAGGACAGTGGCAGGCTGAGAGCCTTGGATGCCGGAGTACAGAGTAGCCTGAATCCTGATGGGGACAAGGGTTCATCGAGGGCTTTGCAGCATGGAAGAGCCATAGCCAGTTTTGGGGGAGGCTTCGGTTGCTGTAGAGTCTGGGCTGGTGACTGTTGCGGATACAAGGATAGACAGCGGGGACTGTGGCCAGCTGCAGTGGCACGTGCTCCATCCGTAGTGTCCACTGCTGTGTGCCATGCACTGTGGCCAGAGCCTGCATTTTCCAAGGAAAGATGGAATCCCATTTTTGAAACATGAAATCTCATCATTTTGAGTGTTGGGTTCAGAACTTTGAAAACACTCTTTGGGTCCAACTGAACATATCTGTGGCAGATTCAGTCCTGACAGTTTTGGCCTTTGTCTTGGACTTTGGGCTCCTGGGGGTGAAGGTGGGAGATAACCCAGGCAAGAACCCCTTCCTCAGACAGGGTTCATCACCCCCAAATGGCTCTGGCCTTGGTGGCTGGAAGTGGAGCTTCTGGAATGATGGGGCCTCTAGGCCCACCTATTTGTGCCCTTCAGCCTGGGGTTCAAGCCTTGCACCTAGCTGGGGTGCTGGGCAGTGTTCACTGGGCCCTGCTCAACCAGGTTGGAGGTTCTGCTCTCTGCAGCCCTCCTCACTGCTTCTCTTCCTTGGTCTGCTGTGCGCTGGGAATTTGAACTGTCTCATCTTTGCCCTGCAGGCTGGCCTGATCCGTATGGAGGAGGAGGAGTTCTTTATCGAGCCCCTGGAGAAGGGTCTGGCGGCAAATGAGACTGAGCAGGGCCGTGTGCATGTGGTGTATCGCCGGCCGCCCACCTCCAGACCCCCTCCTCTGGGGGGGGCCACAGGCCCTGGACACAGGTAAGGCTGCTGCAGGTGGGAGGGTTGCATGGTGGATCCTGAATGTCCCCCCTGGGGAACCCAGGTGCCCTTTCTATAGCTCTGGTCCCAGGCCAAGGCTGAGACCCGCCCTTGCTGACCACATAGCACAGTGGGCATGCTGGGATGCTGGGTCAGGGACCTCTGCTTTGGGTGTATGTGGACCATAAGCTTGTAGGTCTGAGGCCTCCACAGCAGGCGGTAAAGGCTGCCTGAGGGTCCTACCTTTGGCTGTCTAGGGCTGGCAAGTGTCAGGGAAGAGGCAAGACCCAGACCAGGCCTGTACCCTGGCCTGAGTCTCACGCCTGTGTCTCTGAGCCTATGCCTCTGAAGAAGATGTCTGCTGCCCCCTTGCCCCCATCCCTAGCCTCTTTCCCCTGCCTCTGTGCTGTGCTTTCCCTGCAGTGGTGATCACACCTCCCTGGCTGCTCACAGAGAAAGGCCCTGAGTGCTTCTTTGGCCCCGATTGGACCCTGCTCCCTCTGGGAGACAGCTCAGATGCCAGGAGAGGAGGGAAGTGCTCCACAAAGACCCCAGAAGTGCTCCCAGCAGCCTCAGCAACCTATGCACAGACTCATATGGTTTTATCTTTTTCAGCTTAGAATCAAAGTGCGCTCTGGGCCCAGGAGCATGGAAGGAGCTACTGGGCAGGCGGTGCAGCCTCTCAGAGCCCTCCAGGAGGACACACCTACCCTCAGCCCAAACCTCCCCAGCATTCTCAGGATCTCAGGTCCCGGGCTTCAGTGAGGCCAGGTTGGGGTCTGGCTGTGGTCCTGGCAGTGCCCAGGCTCTGTGCTTGGCTCTTGCAGGGTGGGCTTAGCCTTCAGTTTTGGGTTCTAGATTCCTGGCTGTGCTGGCCCATCACCAGGGCAGGTGGCAGCAGACAGGGCATTGAGGCCTGGGTCTTGAGTCAGGCTCATCTGCATGTTTACCGTGAGCCCTGGAGGCCCTACTGGGCCAGCCCAGCTATGCTGTGATTAGCCGAGACACCCCCATTGCCCCAAGTAGCCTTGGCTCATTTAATTTACGTCTCTCTGAGTTCCCAGGTGGCAGATCAATTGGGTGCGGCCTGGCAAGGCACCATTCTAATTTCAAGGAAGGGTATCAGATACTTTTGCAAAGGAATTGTCCCATCAGGAATCCCAGTGCTCTCCAGAGCCGATCAATACTTCCAGCTGCCCCTTCTTCCCAGATGATGAATCGTAGGTCTCCTGCCAACAGTGGAGGGGGCACCCCAGGCGCTGCCCATCTGGCCTTCCCCAGCTTCAGCCCCTCCTACCTCTTTCCCACCCTTGGGCTTCTTTCTCTGCATGGGGAGGAATGGAGAGTAATCCCATTGGGTGAGGGCAGGAGTGGAAATGGGGCAAGGGAAGTGCCCCAGACCAGGGATCAGGGCCCTGGTGTTGCTCCTCGCTGGCTGTCTGCCCTTGGGCAAGTTTGGGCCTCCGGCCTCTGCCTTCTCATCTGTCCTGTGGGATTAGGAATGCCTGTGTCTCACAGAGCTGAGGACCTGGCCACTTTGGGCTTGATCTCTACCGGAAGATTCAGGGGGTTCCCTGGGGGCCCACTTAGGCTGGGTGTGGTGGAGCCTGCACAGTGAGGCTGCCAGGTGCCCTGGGCCAGGGTGCCAATCCCAAATTCAATGTGGTACCTATCTCCTGAACATGGCAGCCCTCCTTCATGGCCTGACGGGCCTTGCCTTATTTCCTGGGCTTCTGTTGGCCTTTGGCATCTTCTCTTGAATCCTTCCCCCAACCTCATCTGGCTATCTCTCGTGAGAGCTTGGAACTCAGAACACAGGAAAGGAATTTCAAACTCAGAATAAGCCCAGAAACCATTGACCTTAGAAGAGGGAAGGCCAATTGCATGGGTCTGGGGCTGAGGCTGCACTGAAATGGGGTGGGATGAGCTCTAGACCTCAGCCCGGGGCTGTGGGTGTGTAGGCTGAAGGCTGTGGGCCGAGGGCAGTAGGTCTCGGCCACAGGCCCAGAGTCTGGCGCCAGACCCCCTTTCCTTGACCTCCCTTCCCAGTGTCAGCGTGACCCTGTGTGGGTGACTTTTCCACAGAAAGCACATTTCTCCCTGCATGATTGTTTCCACTGGGCTTGATTGTTTGATTGTTTCCACTGGGCCCAGGGCTGAGGCCCACTCACTGACTGGAGGCGGTCCAGACATATTTTATGCTGGAGCTGGTCTGAGGGCCTGCGGTGACCCCCAACAGTCTTGCTCTCCGTCAGCCCAGGCCTTGTCAGGGCCCGCGGTGGCAGCTGGGAGATATGTAAAAGGAGTGTCCTTGGCTAAGCATGTTTGCTCCGTGCTCTTTCCTGCAAGAGGACATGGCCTACTGGGCACAGAACACCAGGACCTCCATGCAAAGGCTCTCAGGATGTGTGTGTGAGTGTGTGTGTATAAGGCTAGGAGACCCTTTCTTCTGGTGAATTCTGATGGGAACCCTGATATGTCAATGTGGCTCTGGCCAAAGAAGGCAGGAGGTACTGACTGGAAGTTTCCTCCTGCCCCCGCAGGGCAACTTCTGGAAGCAGGTTTGAAATACCCTGGCCATTTATCAATGGACAATGGATATAATGGGTCCTCGGAGGAAGGGGAAGGGGAAACACCTGTTCTGGGCCTCCTGGTCTGGGAGATTAGCATCTGGCTGGGTGTGGGTGTGCGAGTTGGGGTGGGGGTGCCTGCGGAGGGTGGTGAGGGTATGGGTGAGGGGGCCTGTGGGATGGGGTGTTTGTGGGAGCGTGTGTTGTACACAGCTCTTCCAGAGCATTGAGACACGCTGCCATTGCCCTGTTTTCCCTGAGCAGCCAACAGGCTTCCTGGGGTGGTCTCAGGGGCTTCCGGACCCTCAGAGCATCATTGTCACTAACGGTCTCCATCATCTTAGTTCAGCTACTGGGTTGCAGACTGCCCAGGGAAAGGATGGAAAATGATGCTTTTAGCGTGTCTTCCAGGTCTCAGGCCACGGTTAGAGGTTGCACTGGGTAGCATAGCCCACAGCAATGTCACCCTCAGGCCCTGGAGGAGGGTACCAGGGTGGGCAAGGGACTGAAGGAGACCAGGATGACTTTTTTTCCCTCACTGGACTCACAGGTGTTGCAGAAGTGTCTCTGCTTCGCTCTGCTGGGCCTGGGAGCCTGGCTGGGCCAGAAGGGCAGGGCTCCAAGGCCAGGGTGCCAGTGTGGCCTTTTGGGGAGAGGAGGTTCAGGCATCTCCAGGCCTCTGCTGGACTGGACCTTTCCCCAGCACCCTGAGTCCCTTTCTCAGCCTTCCCCAGAGCCAGCCCTGTGCCCAGGGCCGTATGTTGGGAGGTGTGCTGTGTAACATTGGTCTCTCTAGCGTTTGCACTTGTGTGCATGCATGTGTTTGCATTTGTATACAAGCATGGAGAGAGCCTCACTCCCAGTTCTAGGCCACTGCCTGAGCACCACCCTGGCTGCCATCTGTTAACACTGTCTGGGGTTGTTGAGGGGGAGCCAGGGCCAGTGGGTACAGGATAAGGAGCTCAGCCCTGTTCACAGCTTGCACTGGGTGATCCTGGCATGTCATGCCCCTCTGAGTCCCAGGCTGCTATGACACATTACCACCAACTGGGTGGCTTAAAACAACAGCACTTCATTCTCTCATAGTTTGGGAGGGCAGAAGTCTGAAGTCAGTCAGTGTCACTGGGCTGAAATCAAGGTGTCAGCCGGGCTGGTTCCCTCTGGAGGCTCTAAGGCGAATCTGTTCGTTGCCTCTCCCAGCTTCTGGTGGCTGCTGGCATTCCTTGGCTTGTGGCTGCACCACTCCAATCTCTGCCTTTGTGGTCACATCACCTCCTCCTCTTCTGTGTGATGTCAATCTCCCTCTGCCTCCCTCTTATAAAGGATGCGGGTAATGGCATTGGGATTCACCCTGATAATCAGAATGATCTCCACCTCTCAAGATCCATAATCTAATCACATCTACAAAGTCCTTTTTTGCCATGTAGGATAACATTCACAGGTCCTAGTGATTAGAATCTGGTATGTTTGGGGGCCACCATTCAGCTTATACAGGAAGCAAATTAGCCTCCCTTTCAAGGCTGGCTATGCAATGAATGGGGTACACACCCATGGAGGAGAAACACTGTAAGTACCCTTCACTCCTTCTCAGGGTACAGTGCTCAGGCACAGCCCAGGCAGACCCCTTGCCCCTCTTCTGCCTCTGCTGGACCCTAGTGCCATCTCAGCCAGACTGTGAGGCCTGGTGTGCTATGGTTGGTCTGACCCTAAGACCTAGTGCGCGGAGATGTGGCCTTGCTGGTCACACCAAGGAGGACTGAACTTGGGACTCTGGGAAAGTCCCCACTGTGTGGGAAAGACCCCTGGGTCACATACTGGGCATGTGGTCTCTCTGTCAGGCACATTTGCAAGAAGTTCTGCCATCCCAAGACAAGGGCTGCAAACTCAAGAGACCTGCAGTGCCCGGCAGGCAATGCCAATGAGGACAATGGCAGAGGGTAAGAAAAAGAATTACACCCACCCTTGGCCTGGCATTAATTTTCCTGCTTTTCATATAAACACGGACACAGAGAGAATGTCTCTGCTAAAATGGAAACGGCAGCGTGAGTGCAGTGGCACATGGCATTTGGCCCTGGCCTCACTGTGGGCACAGCACAGATGACAGACTTTGTCCACAGGGGCAGCCCCTCCTGAGCTCCCCTGACCAAGACCTGGTGGGACTGTGGGCCTGGGGCAGCCAATCCTCTTACTGTCAAGAGAATCCAGACATCAGAACTTTTATTTGAACCCTCCTGATTTTAAATTGTTGCTTCAAATTTCTGAAAAGCACCACATGGGCCAAATAAAACATGACCCCCATTGGCAACATGTGCTTTATGAGAGGCAGAGGTAGACGTGTCCTTTACCTTCCTCCACAGGCCTACTGAAGTCCCTGGGCATAGGCTTGGGACCAAGGAAGGGCTGTGAGCTCCTGCTAGGCAGGTGGTACCC